TTCCGTAGGATTTTCTCCTCCCTATTACTTGCTCAGGGTGTGTATGACCATGCACCAAGTGTTGAATGTTATGACATACATTTATAAATCATTTTAAATTGTAAATTTACTTTATAAAGAATCTATTAGGGAACTAGGAGTTTGGACAACAGCCATTTTACTAGCCATTATCTTCATGAAATATTCTGTTCACAATAAATACAAGCTATGTACATCTTCAGTTGGTGACCTCTATTTTAATGTTATTGTCCAGAAGAGGGCGACATCAACAGATTTAAAGCATTTATGTGCAATAAATGTTGTATATAAACATGTTTTAAAAATTATATATATTATATATACTCTAAAAGCTGATATCCCACAAACTTCACCATACAAATGTGATTATGAGAGATGACATTTTATATCATGGTCACTGACCTTTATGTAATCATATATCATATTGTATATATCCTAAGGTATTTTAAATAAGTGTTTTGTTCTCTGTTGATATTAAAATATATTTTAGAAACTTAAACTTCTGGAGGTCTGAAAGATCTGAAAAGTAGCCAAAACCTAAGAATATATTCATGAATTCTAAATGTTGTTAGTCTTTTAGGAGGTTAAAAACGTATCTGCGATTTAATTAATATACAGCCACTATTATTAATTTCTTCAATGCATTTAATTCACAAACACTGTATAATAAATAATACAGAACATAATGACCAAAGTGAATGAAAACAGTATCAGAGCAAAAGTTTAAAGCTGCACACTGCCACTCTCTGGTCACCACTGATATCACTTGGTGGATGGCAAAAAAAAAACTGTGAAGAGACACATGAAAAAGAGTTTGATGTTGTTTTTAGAAAATATATTTATATTAATTACATATATTTTTTATTAAAAAAAAAATGTTTTTCATGATTTGTGTTACTTTTTCCATTTTTGCTACTTCATAAATAAAAAGAAGTGTATAGGCTAATGTATAAAACAATTTATAAAACGGGTCAACTAGCCTGCCCTTGATACACAGCTAAATCTTTCTGTACGAATTTTCTTTCATTATACAGTAATATTGCACAGTTTTCCCATGCGTGCGTTTAATTGTATTCACTTATTTGCCTACAGCAAAATATGAAGATGATGACATTGACATTTTTAATAGTGTATAATACAATTTTACCTTAGACATAATAAATAATTATTTAAGAGGGTTTTGAACTAGGTGTTTAAACCCTATACAGCCTATAAAACCACTGCTAATTACACTTTTGACTTAAAACTTACAGCTAGCCCTTGCCCTCTGTCACAACTGTATCTTACTTTTGAGTGGAAACGTAATGTTAAAAGTAACAACCAACATACGATTAATATAAAACATGTTTTACCTTACCTTCCTCTGATGACTGACTTATTTCGTGTGAGGGTTTGATTGACAGCACAGCTCTCTTTGACCTCAGATGTTCTGACGGACTGAAGGCGATTGCTCGTGTTTTATATATCTGGAGAACGTCTCAAGAACGACAAGAAGGCGTGTCATCGTTACACAATGTCTAAGAGAAAAAGTATACTCTTAAGACAATATGCAAACTATTCGACAGCTTAGCAGGGATAAACTCTCAAACGCCCTGAATGCAACAACAAGTAGGTTATTCAGACTTGTCGCATCATCTCACTTTAATCGTTGCCAAATGTGCTTTAAAGGGGTCATATGATGCTATTTTAAAGATCATTATTTTGTGTATTTGGTGTAACAGAATATGTTGACATGCTTTAATGTTCAAAAAACACATTATTTTTCAAATACTGTATATTATTGTAGGTCCTCTATGCCCCGCCTCTCTCAAACGCGTCGTTTTCAACAAAGCCCCCTCCTTTGACAAGTGCAGTCTGCTCTGATTGGCCAGCTGACCCAGTGCATTGTGATTGGCCGAACATCGCAAGCACGCGTCGGAAATGTAACGCCCCTTCCCATAATCGCGAGCGTCAGCTTTCAAAGTAAATATCAAGACAGTTAATAATGTCCTTAGTTTTACCATCAGTTCAAGCCTGAAGGGGCAACAGAGTCGCGTGACAGACACAGTGATGATGGGCCTTCACGAAGTCCAGGTCTAAGCCCGAACAACCCAGGGGTCCTGGCCCGTCTCGGTTTGAGGATCAGAGACTAGCACAGAAGGCTAGTGTCGCGACTCCGCCTGTGGGTAGGGGTAGGAAGTATCGTGACACCAAGAGCTTGTAACACTCCAAAGAGAAAGGAAAAATTGAAATCGCATCATATGACCCCTTTAAAACCCAAGTACTAAGTTAAATGGATAGTTCACAAAAAATAAATAACATAGTAAGAATTTACTCACCCTCATGTCGTTCCAAACCTGTTGAGATTTTCTTTCGTCTGCTAAACACAAAATAAGATATTTTGAAGAATGCTGGTAAAGAAACCCCCAAAACAAAACATTGAGACATTTCTTATTTTATTTTATGTTCCAGAACATGATTCAGTTATACGAGTTTGGAACAACATTAGAGTAAATGACAATTTTCATTTACCAATGAACTATGCTTTTATGTATCTGAATACTTCTTACGTATTTGAAGCATTTTAGCATGACTTAGTAAAATATGAAAATGAAGGGGTCTGAATACTTATTGAATTCACTGTATATGTCACAATTCTTTCTTCAAAAGAAAATGTTATATTATATAGCGCTATATCTTGGGTCATCCACTCTCTCATCCCGACAGATAGCAGCAATGTCGAATGACTCTCTAGTCTGATTTCCAATAAGTGAAAACCATTGTTACATAACACTTAAGATCTCAGCCTGACGAGCTTCTTCCTAAGTGGCATAAATTGTACCTTTCATCAATGCCGGGACTGATGCATTAAAAAAAAAAAAAAAAAAAGAATGGTTAGTGGAGTACCAACAACAATGGAAAAACCAGGTGACCTATCCAAGGTCAATAATTACAGAGATTGCATGTAAAGGGTGCGTCTGTCCAAAAAACTAATCAAAATGTGTTATTTTCTCACTAATTTGTTGAGGACACAGAAAGTTGCTATACACTCATAATTTCTATGAAGATTCACAAGCATGCCAAACTCTGTACACCCATTCAGCATTTTTCTGCACTCTATTTTTGAGTCATGTTTTGATGAAGATGAAAAAAATTAAGAAAATAAAGACAATTTTCGAATGGGGCAATTTTAAAGAAAGGTCTTGTCACTGACTGAGACTACAGCTGACAGCCTTTCACATTACGTGGATCTGGGCTGGAAAAACCAAGCATCTTACAAAAAGAAAATGCACATCATCTTCTGTATTGACCCAGATGTTCACTTTTTCATAAACATATTTTTATTTATTCCAGGAACACGAAACAAGGTTTGAGGAATGAATAAACAAACACCTCTGGGTTTCTTTTTTCTTAGAAGAAAATTATAAAGAAAAAGGGCAAAGAACGCAAACATGAACACAATTCACTTTTACACATCAACTGAGATGAAGTAGTCTTCCTTTAGGGCCTCAGAAGCAGACAGTCTTGTAGAGGAAACCTGCAGCTTTGAGAGGAGCTTGTGCAATTTGGCATCCTGTCAGAGATAGATGTTTGAATCATTTTGGAGTAATAATTTGAAAATGATATTCATCAGCTCTTAGGTTCTACATACCAGACCCAAACCAGAGAACTCTACATTTTGACGCTCTCTCTCTAGAGTTCCGCTGAAGTCTGCAACATGCAGCTGTGAACAAACAAGTCTCCTTTACTGACAGATTTTTAAATATAATTACACATTTATATACAATGTATTTTTCTACTATATTTTATATACTAGAAAATTGTAGTCATATTCATTTTATTTCAGAAAATATAAAAATGGTAAATAAGTAAGTACACTACAGGTCAAAAGTTTGAAATAATTAAGAGTCTGTATGCTCACCACGGCTGCATTTATTTGATCAGAAATAATTTTAATAACTGTGAAATACTATTACAATTTAAAAGAATCATTTTCGCTTTGAATATATTTTAAAAATGTAATTTATTCGTGTGATGGCAAAGCTGAATTTTTATTGCTCCACTCTAAATCAAAAGTGACAGTGAAGACGACATTTATAATTTTAAGATTTGTAATTCAACTATAGGCTGTTCTTTTTAACTTTCTATTTATCCATTTTTTCAAGACTCCTGAAATAAATGTATAATGATTTCCACAAAAATATTAAGCAGCAGCAACTGTTTTTAATATTGATAATAAGAACCATTATTAATAATTAAGCAGCAAATCAGCATATTAGAATGATTTCTGAAGGATCATGTGACACTGAAGACTGAAGTAATCATGCTGAAAATTCAGCTGTCATCACAGGAATAAAGTACTTTTTAAAATATATTCCATTAGAAAACAGTCTAAATTGTAACAATATTTCACAATATTACTGTTTTTGTTTGTATTTTAAACATGAGTCAAAGACGAAAAAGGGTTTAAGCATAAAAACAATAAACGTAATACTGCTTTTTGTAAATTGTTGTTGTTTTTCCCCAAAAAATTGTAAAAGTTTTCCGTTTAATTTAATTGCAATTTTGTTTTTCCGAGCAAAAAATAAATATCATACATTTTTCCCTGATTTACAGAAGACATCCACTAAAATGTAATTCAGTGTAAACATTCTTGTCAGGCATATTTACAACAAAAATCACTTTATGACATATTAAAAGACTAATTACTTTCACCCCAAATACTATCGCGAGCTTCATCTTTCAAAATAAATGTAAAGACAGAGCCCGAAAGGGGAACAAAGTCGCGTGACAGACACAGTGATGAAGCTGGTATGTGTTTGCAGTACACAAGCCAAGGCTAAGACAGCTGCCTCCACTGTGATGTGCCCCTCTCTCTCTCTCTCTCTCGCGCTCTCTCTCTCTCTCTCTCTCGCTCTCTCCCTCTCTCTCCCTCTCTCGCGCTCTCTCTCGCACGCTCGCTCGCGCACGCACACACACACACGATGCGCAAAACTCCACAT